CTGACTAAAATCAACACACATAAATGTATAGTAAATGGAAAATTTATCTAACATTTCTCCTTTATGTACAAACAAAACCATTTCTGTTAAAGGAAATTAGCATTTAATAAATAAATGTATTTAATCAGCCCCTGTACACTTATATATATACCATATATGTGATACAGAATATAACCTCAATAATGGGGAAAAGCTACAAGGAAAGTTTAAAATATAACATCATTGATTTTAAGTCTTTACAACACTCCTGCCAGCAGGACAATCTCGATAAAACATTTTCACATGAACTGTACTTAGTGTGTTATAATTCATAAAGAGGAGTTACTTCCAAAAAACTCCTACTCAGGTACTGCCTGCCCTATCAGTTTCAATACAGTAGGTTCTCTTTTTATGAGGCATTAAAAGACCCAACATCATCGCAACATACCAATTAGTCTTTGATCACATCACCAACACAGCTAATCCTACAAATTACTGTCAAACTGCTGGTAATTTTTTTTTTAACAGGAACTCATCAGCGTTGTGTTGCAATGTTCCAGTATTGATTGAAAGTTTGCTGCATGAAATTAGCAACAGACTCACTTCATAGGAATTTAACTAAAAAAGTCATATTTCACATGACTACTTTTGAAGTGTGATTTCCTGACAATGGCAATTTGAATGCTACATTCTTGCAGTCTGTTACGTTGATAAACAGGCAAAAACTGAGCAATTTTATTTTGTTTCTTAGAAACAGATCAGCAATTAGCTTGTTTTATATAGAAAAATTGAACTTGAAAATAATTCACAAACTATTCTAGTAAATTTGAAGTGAAAGTTGCAAGTTGCATTCAGCAAGCTGTCAATCAATATTTTCACAATACCACAAAGCAATATTCTAGAGTTCCTATCAGGAGGCAACCAGTTTGACTATAAATTTCTATAGTCAAATGTTAACCAGATGTTCTTTTGATGGCAACCTTGCAAACTTCTGCCTCAACATTGGTATTTGATGACAGTCTGAGTCGAGCAAACTGCAACCTATGTGAGCAGTTTGAAACTTTCAATTTGAATTTGGTGGAGTAAGTTCTCAAGCTCTGGTTTTCATTTTGCCATATAAAGTCAGGTAAGACAAACTCAGTTTCAAATAAACAGAATGATATTGCCTAATATTTGCTGTTAATCAACAGACTGCGATGAAATAGTGACAGGCTTAGCTCCAAATTGCCAAACTGTGAATTTCCCTTAAAAATTTAGATCTGTCCTGCAAGGTTATGTCTTACACTTTTAATTTTGAAGCACGATTCCTGGTTTTGCTAATTTAACTAAGCCCGTCACTTATTTCTCACAGTCTCTCGATAAACAGGCTGGTGACAGCTGACTGAATTTACTGTTTCTTTGAAACAGAGCTGGTATTACCTTGTTTTATACTGCAAAATGAAAACAGGAACTTGGAAACTTGCTTCAACAAATTTGATAGTGAAAGTTGCAACTTGCTTGTAAAGCTTGAAACTTGCTCGACTCAAACTGTCAATCAAATATGAATGATGAGGCAAAAGCTTGCAATCAAAAGTATATCCAGTTTGACTGTAAGCATCAGAGGCTTTATTTTTGGCTAGAAAATTAACTTTCAAGCTATCAAATCCAAATTTTTTTACAACAATCACCACAGTAGCTAATTATTTTCCTTATAGTGTTGTTGACACTAAAGTTTTGAAACTGATACAAGTGAAAACACACCTGGTCAAAACAAAAAAAAAAAATATTGGTCATGTGATAAAAATTTTTAGTCATTTCTGTTTAGGATTATAAGTAAACCATTATTCACTCACATTGTAACCCCTTTGATTCCTCCTAGAATTTATTACACTTTCATCCTGCTTGTTTGCCACTTGGGGAAATTCCTCATTCCTCACATGGGTTAACAACTCCTCTGATTTTTGCATTGAGGGTTTTAAAGTGTCTTAAAGGCACCTGTGACAAAAGCAATTCAAAAAATCACAAATCTTGATCATTGTCCAGAATAAAATAAAAATACCTCTGAAATATAATATTACTGAAAAGGTCTGAATGTTGCACTAATTTTCCTTGTTTGATATTGGATGAATGGACTCAACAAAGGAATCTTCAAAAGTGACCAAAGTACATACAAATTAATGCAAACACCTTAATTTTCACTTTCTTAGTCAATTATATCAACAATGGATAAACTTAACAAAATAGCTGGGTTAAGTTAAAGGCTAAAGGGGCACTATGGAAGTAAAGTGTCTTGCCCAAGAACACACAATACAACACACTGGTCCAGGCCAATGCTCAAACCCAAATGTCTGATCCACAGTGTAATGTGCTAGCTATTAAGCCACCAAATATTATAGTCACAATTATAGAAAATTAATCTATACTTACACTCTAATATGACAGGATCAGCCTTTTAGAAAGCTAATGTTGCTCTGACACCTCTTTCGATTGCTTGGGTAACCTCAAGGTTGGTGTGATCATTAAAACTGAAAAGCAAAATGATGTTAAGCTTTTAAGTACTTGGGTTGATGTATTCTGTAACTCAAATTAATAGAAACACTCAAGACATATATTGTTCGGTAGAAGTTTGGAAGAACCAAAAAACTTGCTAAACACTGGCCAATGGCTCATATTCCCACAGCATTTCTCATTCTCCCAACTTACCTATGACAGTTCGACTATCATGCACCATTTCACCAGGGCTTTATGAAAACACAAAATCATACATATCCCTGATCATCTGAGATGGTCGGGGATAAATCGGGAGTGCTTCTATTTACCTGATGGCGGCCAGATTTCTGCAATCATTCCCAACATATGAAAACATAAATTGGCAAAATCTGGGACGATCACGAAACAGCGAAATCCCAGAGCTTCTGGAACTTTCCCAACATACATGTACAAAAAACCCAGCTTACATCACAGACAGCGCATCTTAAAAATTTGGCCAAGTTTTTCAAGTCTGCCATTCTCAATCTTGCCCAATCTTGACCATCCTTGTTCCTTTTTGGTTTATTGTTACCTCTTTGGTGTTTTTCTAACTTAGAAAACTAAATTTGAAAGTAACTTTTGTACATCAGCAAAATGGCTTAAAATATCATGACATAGCTCCTTTAAAACTACATACTACAATAACTCAACAATAAATTTCATCCTTTAAAAACAAAATGACCGTCTATTGTTATGATGGCTATGTGCATGAAATCAGCAACAAAGTGTTATCAACAAGCTGTTATCAACAGGCACT